CTTTTATTCAACCTTTTTTAAAAACGACCCCATAAGATCACTATCAGACTAAGCATATTTATTCTCCGGATTTGAGTCTGGCTTTTAAAGTGTGTTTGTGCTATTCGTTTGACAGGAATAAGGCGTCAGCATTTCATTTATGTCTTATTTCAACACAACTCTCAGGTAGTACTAACAATGAACAACAAACAATACATTCATACAATACAGTTAGAGTGATTTGTTCGTGAATATCAGTTGGGGTTTGAAAACTGGCATGGCTATTCGTTGATCAATAATACCGAATCGTGTTCAGATGCATCATTTTTCCACGTATATAATTCTTATTTTTAATGGCTTTTGCTGTTATTGGGTCAAACCGCGTATTGTTTTTCCCGGTTCTGTCCGGACGCAGTCGATTAGCTGTTTTTTTCCTTTTACCTACTGACTGTACAAAAATGAAAGGGCAAACGATCATTCATCTTAATAGGATCAGCGCATTTTCAGCAAAGTAGCTGTCCCCTGAAACGAGATAAACTGCATCGAAAACCTCGGTTCAAAGACAAATGGCATATCTGTCCATTGAATGAGAAAATAGACTATAAGTAACTGTCGTCATGCTGACCTTAGGGGGTCTGCACAGTTAGACAAAGGCGTGCATTACTTTGTGCGCACCGCGTGCGGTTGGTGAATATTTAGGTATGCGGGAGGGTTTGAAATATGAAAGCGTTTAGCTAGGACGGATTTTCCGAATCCAATCAATTGTTCTACAGGGACAAAGAATAAGATAAGTGGAGCCCCGAGAGGAAAATTGTACAGAAACTGTCCTTCAACAGAGGAATACAAAGAGGATAGAGTAGAGCTAGTGTAGTGTGTAGTGGTGTGTAGTGGTGTTGGAATCTCAAATATTTTGGTAAAATTTATATCGTATTTAAAAAAGATCTGACTGGAAGCGGAATATAGCAATCAGGCTCTACTCTAGCGTAAAAGAAAAACTTATTGGTTCAAGGAAAGCCAAGAAAAACTTAGTTGTATCTCCATTTTTTCATTGCGTTAATTACGGTTTGATGGTGTGCAGAATAGTTTTCAATTCAAATTGCCAACCCTAGCGTTAATTACGGTTTGATGGTGTGCAGAATAGTTTTCAATTCAAATTGCCACACCCTAGTGTTTTTTTTCGAAAACCAACTGGTAAGTAACCATCTAAGCGGACTTATATCTCGCTATTTCAGAAGTAAATAACATTTGGAGGTGATCTATGGGTTCATAGTGAAAATAGTGGGTGTATTAAACAAAACTGTTTGACGTGGTCGGATCATCGGAGAGCTTCATTTGGTATATTCACCCTAGTTTGAATGAGGACTACAGAAGGACCAGGAGATCTATTCAGGTGACAACGACACGAATCATGTATTAAAGTACACACTAACTAGGTTAAGCATTTGTCCTTCCACTCTTTAGTACTGCCTTCCGATCTGGAATCATATGAATAGCTCGACAGCCTACCTAAATGGCTAGGCCTGCACCTGGTGATGGGGACTTGACTGTTTACATTATTAATAACCACTCTGGCAAGCAATCACATCTGAGGTGGTCTCCTAACCCTGACAACTGTTGAAAGTGATCATTGACTTTGGCTGACTTGCACTGTGGACGGTAAACTTGTTGTGTTGTTTCACTCTCTTCAAAAGAGAAGTGTCACACATCGAACGGCTAGCCAGAAAACGCAGGTCACCTTTCTGTACTGCAAACTGGTAGCTTACCTCATGAGTTAAACCGAAACAATCACAACGCCAAGCACCACCTACATTTCACAGCTTCTAATTCTGGAAACATTTGGCATAAACAGTTTCTTGGTAAAGGTAGCTGTTATCGGCATCGTGTGCTCACGTTAAGCAATTAGAAATAAGAACCAGGCCTTCCTTATGACAGTCAGTTTTTAGGAGGCATGTTGCATGTGCTAACTTGCGGCCGTCCAGCCATCAGACGTGGCCCAGTCGCGCCCTCATTGGTGCCGTTGATCCAAGCTAATTGCGTCCAATGCATAGCTCCCTTCCCAACCCCCCAATTGACAGCCCACTGATAGCGCTGGATTTATGCATCAATTTATCATCTCCCGCCTGCAATGCGTAGCTACCTACCCCCTTCCCCACCCAAACCATCAGTGAACGAAACTGCGGCAGTTACAACCACTGTACGACGAGTACGCGGTTATTAGAGCTGACAATGATGATGATGATGATGATCAGCTGGGTGTTTGTTCTTGTTTCAGATTTGTCCGTTATCCCCAAAACGAAAGCTAGGGCACTGTGGGTGGTCACCGGTACTCACAGACGGGTTTCGTTCTTATTAGCTGCTGTACTTTGAGCTTGTTTTCAAAGGTGTGCTCCTAAAAGAAACATTTGTAGAAAACTGTACACAAGTTCGAGTGAAGGCGTGGTCCACACAATGACCTCACGCTACCAACAAATCCCATCACTGTCACTGATTCTCCTATTTTCTGTGAGCATTGCCTTTTAGCATATTACCGGTGAAAGGAAGAAGGCCTTCGCTGCGGAGTTATTTATAAGAAAATGCCAACCGAACAGTTACAGACTGTTGGACAGGGAAGCAAAACCCTCATATGGATCTTGTTTACAAAAACTGAATATCCACCTTCTCTTTGAACCCGTCTTTCTGAACTTTCCTGGATATTTATTAACTGTTGCTCAAATCCAAGAACATGACACAAAGCAACTCCACAAGAGACGCACAGCGAATTTACAAGAAAACATACCACTCGTATGCTTCTCCCATCAGTAGTATCACCATTACACCGGTACCTGAATGATTATTTCGAAGTTAACTTTTGCTGTCCCTTCGAGACCATCCAGATCAGTACTGTTAAGTTCTAGCCCCCTCTAGTTCAACAGTTGCAAAGCAGGGGGGCACGTAGAGTTCGGAGAATTTCCGAAACTAATCGAGCTGGAAGTCATTTGTGTTCGTTCGGGGCTCAGCAACGAAAGATGTCACGAATTGTGGCAATCGTCAAAGAATCTGTACGGCGAAGCGTCAATAGCTGCGTTATTCTAAATTAAATCTTGACAGATTCGACGACGAAATTCCTGACAATATCAAGCTCATGAAGAACCATTAACAAACACTAATAACCGTGGAGTCGTCCGAGAAATAAGTGCTTCAGAACAAGCAGTAGTTCACTTGAGATGAGCTCACGTTTGTAAGGTAGGAATAATAATAATTTTGAGGTCTTTTGTTTTGGGAACAAAAACAGAGCCGAAACATTGCCATAGATGACACATTCTGAATATCACCACAGGCTCAAACACGTATTCTGATTTCTTACAGAACACTAGTTTGTAGGACGTTTTATCGGACCGCCACGCCCATCGCATTTAATTTATCGGAGGCTGAATGAATGTCCATCAACTGACACCGAAACGAGCGTACATTTTGGGGGAAGCGCTTAGTCATCCGTAATTGTGTCATTGATGCACTAAAACCAAATAGTTATCGGTCTCAAAAGAGGATGCATTGGGTGAAGAACGCTTACAGGAAACACAACTTTAAATGAATGGCAGGGGCGCTTGCGGTTGCCGTGAAGGAAATACAAGGAAGTGGAAATCGAACCGATACAAATACTGCTCGATAACTTTTCACGACGGCACGACTGAAGTGAAGTATGAAATAGAGTTGGGGACTGTACGTCAAACTGTGGACGTCCACGTAGATTTCCACTGTCTCAGTAGTATAAAATCCGGGTGAACAACGTACGACCTTCAACTTCTGTTTTAATAACGTTCATGTAATGGCTATCGCGGCGAACCTTACCATAACTTTTCTGTGAGTAGTTACAGTAAATTTTCAAGCCACACCATGAACAATGAGCAGAGACGGTTAATCGGGACCACAGTTTGTACATCGGTCCGCATGGTAGCTCAAAATGTATATTCAAGTAGATGATTCCCCACAGATAAGACGGCACAAACTCATCTATGCCTATATGGTATCTACAGCTGGATGTCAGTTCGGAGTGGGTGAACTCTCGGAAGAAAACTGATGCAACCAGGGCTTCTCAGCTGTTCGAAATTCTGGTTAAAATGGCTCAATGGATTCAAGTTCAAACCATGTTGTTGCCATTGCGGCTCAGTAGGTATTGCAAAGGACAACACTTAGCCTGAGTTCTTCATTTTCAGAGATACTCCTTTGGCTCCTCCAATCAGACGTCGGTAATCCTATCCTAGCATTCTTTGCGAAACCTACCCGGTACAATTCCAAGGCACAAGGACATACCAATTCGCTGGTACTTGAAACCAATCGCCTAGCCTATCCTGTAGATTTTGCAACCGAGAGCAAGTAGTGTCTCAAGGGCCCCAACCTGGAAGGTGCAGAGCCCATAGCGTCCTGCTTGGACGTAGCCACTTTTCTCGTCGTGACTTGTCTTTTCTCCATCGTGGGCTTCTGAATGAAAAACAATGTTGTCGTTTGCATATTGTAGCTGGACATGCGCATTGCACACTATAACACTCGAATTTACTGCTAAAGGTGTTTTGATTGCTTACCGAGTATTGAATTTTGCTTCCTTTCACTGTGGAGGACCTCTAGTTAGCTTACACCTTCTGTGCTACAATTGCGTCTTCATGTGAATGTTAAAAAATATCATCTATATAATATGTCTATATCTATAGATTTCTCGTTATGTATCTATATATATCTATATATTATCCTTCGAATTAGGATGGACTTCGGGCGCATCTCTTTCCGAATAAGAATGTGGCAGCTGTGTGGAGCTTCAAGGCTTTTCGGCTTGCATCGAGTTATCAGCGACGTGATATTTAGAGTTGCGAACATCCTAATCTTTGAAATGTTAACAGGTATTTTCATAAGGCAAACTACTCACAAGGTTGCTGAAAGCAAAGCAAGCAACCTTAAGACACTAAGCTTTCAGCTGTTCAACTTTGACACATTCATTTTGTTGTGTTTCACCTCCGTAACTCCATCTTTCCTTCCACTTTTTCCTCCAGATACAAGCCAATAGAAAGCTAAGTGCCACATCATTCGAACCCCTGGAAAATATGGTCGTCTGTCCGATAGACTTGAATCTTTTGGAAGATCCTCGTCTGTTGCCCTGTGGCCATGCATTTTGCTGTGACTGCCTCACAAAATACATGCATCAGCTGCCAATGGGAGTCAAAGAGAAGGCCACCACCAACGAGGAACCCCGATTTGCCTGTCCTATATGCCGAACTGTCTATCCAGTACCCCCAGCGAAGAGTGCCAGCACATTTCCAAAAGCATTCAATCATCTGGTTATTTTGGAGTTTCTCAGGAAAAATCAACTGCAGACGTTTAAGATTCCAAGCGCGCCACCACTTTCGGGCGAAAACGATAATAACAGCCGACAGGCTATGGTGGCGAATCATCGAAAGTCATCCACCCAAGTTAGTTCACAGATGTTAAATTACATTGTCAACGACATTACAGCCCGGGAACGTGACGGAAAGATTAGCCCCGCAGACAGAGCTGTGATCATGGATGAGATTTCAAAACTTCTTCAAAGACTTGAAGGTGATCAGAAATCGTCAACATCTCCAGTGGTAACAAAAATCAAAGAACCACTACAAATTCCCTCGGTCTCGAACTCATCATCACACTCGCCAAACGGATCGGTACGAGGTCTCGGCAGATTCCATGCTTTTGCTGATAAGGTACGACTACGAAGACGGTCGTCTGTGAGACCGGTTCAAACTGAGACACTGAGTTACACCACATATAGAGACGTAGAAAGTTTGCGGTGGTCAATGAAACACAAGTCAACCTACGAGGTATTGACTAAAGGAAAGGATTGTTGTGTAATGCGTGCAGGTGAGAATTTTCAACCGGTTGATATGCAGCTTATACCACAGTCCACATCTGCTCAGGTGTTGAGATGCACATTGACCACCGATGAAAACAGAAGGGCCTTGGTTTTATGGAGCCAGAAGATCAAACTCGATCACCATTCGATCCCAGTTGATTCAAAGAGACCAAAGAGTGCCAAGGAGAGTCTACAAGAAGAAACACGCGGTGCTGTGAGGTTGAACGGCACCGGTGCCCTTAAGGTGCAATATGTTCGGTTCTTCAAACAACATATATACTTAACTGGAATAATCTCCTCTCAATCCTCTACTCTGAGTGACCGGAAGACTGGAAGCAATCTTCAGACAGACAGTTCTTGTTTCAGCATCCCACCAGAAGAATACGCTGTACTAGTTCGCTGTGAAGCTACTGGCCTAAAAGCGACGGAAAACGGGACAGAGCCCAGCGATCCTTTTCCTATCCGAGCTGTATCATGCCCGTTTCGTCGAGATTCGGTTGGACATGAACGTCTTGACCAACCTATTCTGTCCGGGATCGATATAGATCGAACAAATGGCGATGTCTACCTGGCCCAACCGGCGAACGCCATGATTTGCCGCCTGAAAGCACACGACCTCAGTAGAACCGACGGAATGTGGTACTTAAACGAACCACAGTTATCACCGTGTTTCCTGTGCTATACAAATGATACTAAGGAGGTTTGGGCTACGTGTCAACGTGAGGACAAAGTGGTCATATTAGACCTGGAAACCAATGGCTTTCATCATTTCAAACCATCCCTCTCTTTCGGCATCAATCCTTCACACATCGTTTACACATCCGATCAACGGATAGTCATGCTGGACTCCGAACAGTCACGTCTGTTATGGATAGCCAAAATCCACCACACAATTTGTGTGCAGTTCTTGGACGTGCAATTTCACGGTCGGCAACGCCGTAAATTTCTTGCCATTCAGCCAGTAGATGATACCGCGGTTATGGCTGGTATCTTAGATTCACCAAAAATTCATCATACCCTAATCAGCGGTGGGATCCTGTGTGCTCATGATTGTGGATGTTCCATAATCTATCCGAAGAAGCAACTATCCAAGCTACGTTCTGTCCGAATGGATTGCACTTCAATATTCTCCTGCTGAGCAACCAGGCCACAGACGGTTCGAATCACAGGATCTTCTGTACCGTCCCGCATTTCCCCGATAACGCGACAATGCCACTATGCAAGCGCCTTCCACAGCGACAGAATATGATTGGACCACCCAGGCGATTATTTCTCCTTCTCATTATCAGTTATTATTGATATTACTTCCTATTGTTTTTTGTTGTCATCTCCATTTTCCATACTTCCTGAGCATTTACCTACATTGCCATCAACCCACAAGCCAAACATGATGTGCAGGGTTGTTTTGTTTTATTCGCGGCGCGACGTGAATATGCAATGCTTCCTGCCTGTTTCACTAATTCGCATAATTTTAAACGTTGATTTGCAAACCTTTCGAAGTTGTTGTGTCCAAACTGCATAGATCACGGGTATTTGATCGTTCAGGAAACCGTCGGTAATTAGAAAAAAAATCGGACGGACAATGTGAAGTTGCAAACTCGGAAAGTATGGCATCAAAGTGGAACGCGACTGGGCATGATGGGTCGAGCACGTCAGCAGGGTTACACGTGGACGGAGTGGGGCTAGGCCGGACAACGATAATAGGTGAGAACGTCTACTTATCCACAACACAGAGTTAAGGTGCACCTGTGGCTGGAAACGGGACTGTTAGACGTTGTAACCTCAATACGAACTTGGATTCTTCGAGAGGACGGCGCATGATATCGGCGCACGCGTTAAACGGGTTGGGTTGGCTGTTTAATGTTCAGCTGAGGGGTCTGGAGTTTGAAATTGAAACGATCGCGCTGTTAAACAGAAATCCTGAGTCTGAATGAGAACTAATGAATTTCGCTCTGTAATTCATGAAGACAATTACAAGTTAGTTTCGTAGAACATGATTAGATCTTAAAACTTTAGCCTCATCACAACTCCCTGTGCACATGGTGAGTACAGTGTCTAGTCTCCCCTAGGAAAGCCTTCGTTTCATCGATCGGTTGGGTTACCTCAGACGCGCATGAACACTGTGACGTGATCTGTAATGTGTCACGTTTGAGCACTGTGGCGGACACCAGACTTGCAACTACGTTGAGACAAATGCAAAACACGACAGAAGCAGCCGGGTTTGCCAACTAGTAAGACACGGTTCAAACCGAGCCATTCCCTGTAGGCCGATGTAAGCTCGCAGAGGGGTGTCGAAACTGTCAGGAAACGAACTACATCAGTGTATAAACTGCATTTATATAAGAGCCTCAGGGCTTGTATTTAATGACTCAAGCAGTGCCATCAGGTAGACCAATCAAAATTATCGGTTTTATAGCACCTACAATCCAGCAGGTGGAGTGAAAAGTGTAGTAACACTGTGCAGTCGTTTCATCCTTGTTGGGTACTAAACAATGTACATACCGTGAATCCCTTCAGAAATATCCATGCTTGAGATCCTTCAAATGTCAGACGAGCGTTTTACAACAGGATGATCTTCGGTGGAGTTAGCTTGTATAGAATGTTGGATTACAGACTCTGCAGTCACACATCCCAAGTCACATGACAAGCTGTTGCCTGGTTTTTCGAGCGGCGACTCTTCAGAGGCGGATCTGTGGCGAGTGGGAGGTGATCTGATCAAAATAAATCTATTGGCATGGGCGCAGGCAAGTATGCGGTTCAACTTCATCGTAAGAGATACCACTGCAGCCAATGTATCACCGTAACTTTACTAATAATGCAGTGAGTCAACGGCAAGGTCATCAAAAAGTACACACAAAAGAACGGGTTGACCGGCCTCAAAGCAATGTGGGCACAACTGCAAGGTGCTCAGTATTCGCACAATGGGATTTAAATTTAGAAAGCTGTGACGTGTCCCTGATGGATTAAAGCAACTGAACAATTGATTTCAGAGTACCTTTCCCAACTTTTCGGCCCCATTTAGGCATCCCGGCGTCTCAGCGATGCTGGGAAATTATTCCACCAGACTATTCCGCCAGAGTTATGATTGCTTCAGTGGATAATGAAATTTGCTGTGCTGCAACAACATTAACGTAGATTGAAATGGCTTTTGGTTTGAGCACATACGCAACAACATGCAACATTTGGGCGCAAAAACTTTTACTCCACTCGTAGAGGTTTTGCAGCTAAGAGCATTGTGCGGCTAATGCGCCCTCAACTGCAGCGAAAACTCTACGAAGCTAGGTGTGTCTACAGTGTAGGTCTGAATCCTGGTCACCGGGGAATTACAAAATGGCGACTTGCGCAGCAGTTGCAAAGCTCAAGTGCACTTGAAATGTTTGCGGACGAATCTGGTTCACATTCGCGGAAACAATATTTAAAACATACCACGAGCTGAATCGGATGGAGCAACATAGAAAATATAGGCCTATGAGAATGATCGACGCCCCGAACTACAGTGCTTTTCGCAAAAGAAGACGTCACTGTCCACGTGAAGGCCGATCCCGGCAGATTAAAAAGTTGTAAACAACGCGTGAGTAACGTTGTCTACCACGTGTAACGAACTTGGATGCGTTTGGTATTCGCCACCTCAACAAATATTGTAGTCTACTGTTGAGCAAAGTCACGAACTAACAATCCTCGTTCACGGCCATTTCAACCTTTCTAAGCAGCACTTGTACACTGTTTCTTTTATGTGTATTCACCGCTAGAGGTCAAGAAGTTTGCAACAATCGAATAGAGACATAGGGCAAACTAGATCCTTCTCTCTTTCTTCAGTCAATAGACGAGAAAAGAAAGTAGTGTGTCCAACGGAGGTCGTCGCAGGTCTTACAGAAGGTTTTCTTTTGATGCGCAAAAAACCGGGGAGATAAACAAGATCTGACAGAAATGGCCGTATCAGCAGATATTGTAGAAGGCAGGTTAGTACTCGAAGATAAATTGCCCGGATCACACCAAGTGCATGCAAATAGCAAGTATGGTGTCGGGAATGGATTTAGAGAGCTGCGTTAGTTAAAATCAGTTTTTGGGTTACTGCTGGGTGTTGATCAGTAGGAAGAATCATATAAAGTTAGGTAACCATCCAATTCGTATTTATTGCGGGTGAGAAAATATGCAGGGTCAGAGCGACCTTATCCAGACTCTCCTGGATATGGCTGGTTATGAAGATGTCTGAATAAGATCAGTCTCACGAGGTCTAGTTTGAAAGCTTTCGAGGTACTACACCAGCGCTTAAATCAAGGGTCATTCTAGGTGACCACAGGTGTAACCTAACCAACGTGAACCGGGATGGAAAAACGATGCACCGAGTTCTCCAGTATTCTGGAAATCTAGCAACCATTACAACAGCTAAGTCTGTTTATATAATAGCCGGTAGTCATGGCCAAGAATTCCATCTGAATAAAATATTACTACTGAAATCCCTTTTTAAAGGGACAGAAGTAACTTTCGTAGGTTTCTCACACATCAACAGAGCATTCAGAGTAGTTCAGAATAAAAAGTGGTTTCTGGTTAGAACGGGTGACTTCCCAAGGTGGTATATAGGAAGTAGGCGTAAATTCCAAGAAATGGACAATCCATTGGGCACTGAGTCACGAACTAGAGTGGTTTCTCTGGAGAGTCTTGTTGCATAAGAATGCATCGGTGAGCGATAGTGTTGGTTTAACCAAACACGGTAGCTGGTTCCAGCATGTCGCGATTCGGACGACGAGCATCAGAGGTTGATCGGTTCAAACATTTTTATATAACTACACAAAGAACGCTGACTGAGAAACGTACTATAGAATGTACGTGATCATTTAGCTCATTTGGAGTAAAAAAATGGTCAGTCTGTGCGGGATACTAGCATCCACCAACGTACTGTTCACTACAGCTAAGCAACTGACACGGACAAATGTTGATAAAGATCCATTCTCATTGTATTTAAATGCAGCAAGATTAGTTGTACGTCCCGTTTCGACAGCTACAAATATCTTATTTCAACATTAAGTCGACCTTGTTTACGGGGAAGGTCCGTTACTAAGTTTTGCGACCATGTCATCTTGTAGAGCCACCTTAACGAAATATCACCAAGAAATGGCCCACAGAGTAAAACTTTGTCTGTCGAGCTCCATTAGTTCACGCAGTTCTGGACAACATAGGACAATCACAATTCCCGTAGCAGTCCGATAACCAAACCATGGGACGACTTCATTTAGTAACGCCTATACACATCCATTGGATGCGCGAAAACGAGATTTTAGGTCAGATGAAGCGGCCAATCAGAGCGCTCCGTCTCCGTATGACCTATGAGATCCCAAATCGAGAGAGGAAAAACAACCATCGAAAACGAACCGATTGGAAATCGAAAGCTACATCATCACAAATTTTACCGCACAATGGCACAGAGAAAACTGAATGGAAAAATCGAGAGAAGAAAAGTGGATTCACTGAATCCTACACAACACATCCCTTGCGAAAGAAATGAACCGGCCGGCGGTAACTGTAGAGGTGCGTGGGAAAATAGAGTGCAAATGAAAAAAACTGCGACAAGGCAGAGTGTAAACATATTACTTTAAACTACTGACAAACAGTCCAAAGTAGATAAGATAATACCGAGAGTAGATCAGAGACCGTCGGATAGACAGAACCCTCCGAAAATGCTAACGCCTGAGAGACATTTCTTCCATACGTCTGATTCATGCTGCCCGGTTGACCACTTTCATACGTTGTGTTTCCAGAAGACCCTGAGTTTCGGCTAACCTATAAATAAAAAGGATAACAATCCATCACTCGCCTGTAGGAAATTTTGAAAATATATCTGAATTGCTCATTCTATCGAACTTTGGATGAATCTATTCTGGTTCAACTTTCTTGCATAATACAAGGTCCGTTTAGAACTCCAGAACACACAAGACTACCCAGTTTGACACAATGTCATTAATGGTGCGGGTAAACCGAAGACAACAACAGACAAGAGCATACCAGCAGAGCAGCCAAGCAACTGTTGCTGAGTGATGGAGGTGTTTCTTGGCCAGTTTTCATGGCGTGGTTATTCCAGTAGCGAATAGTCTGTGGTGTGATGAGGCTTACAAGGACTCTCAAACTCCCCATCCATCAAACATGGACTAAATGTAGCTTGGATCAACCGATTGGCGATTCAACACATAAATGATCGTCTATAAGATACGATCCTTATCAACCATGTGCCACTTTCACCAAAACCCTAGTAGTTAGAAGGAAATCTCTTATGTTAAAATGCGATGGCCCTGTGCACATATGTTTAAATCAAAAGGGTCCATATTCTACATTAATTTTGCTGAAGTTTTTTCTAATTGATCATTATTCTTAAATGTCTGGCGCTCGGTTTAATTTTAAAGTCGCTTATTTCCTGTCGTGACTCAGCAGGACATTAATTCACATTTAGGGGTGATTTTTGTTGAGAAATCGGATGGCGCACATTCTTCATCCTTCACAGCCTTCGGAGAGGTGTTAAACGCAGCTGTTAAACCAACAGCTCCCTTTAGCTTTGAGTGGCTGTATACTGATGTAGTGGCTGACCTATGGAGCCAAGGAAGAGTCCATGAATAGGATGAAGCTAGGAAGTTGAGCGCATTTCTTAATGACAAGTAGTATGAGGAGTAGAAGCTGCCTACTCAATTTTCGCCTAAGGAGGCACAAAGGCCATTTTCCAGTCACCCCTTACAAGCGTGTTCACAGTAGTGAGACGACTAACAGAGCTCAAGTACATAAAACGTCAACTCGGTTCAAGTGGACTGGTTCGATCGATCAGTAAGAGGTGAAGTCCACCTATCCTGAAACAATTCCTCATCTATTCAACCGGAAGCATCGTCAGGAACAGGCTGCACTTACGTTAGATTATTTACCGAGACGACGATATCTTTATCTAAATCTTGGACATTTGCATACCTCTGGATAATCGCTGATGACTACCGGGTGAAATTATCCAGTCGGCCGCGGAATCGCATAGTACAGGTAGGTACAGGAAGGTATTACGCCTATATTTGACCTGAAGCTGCCACCTTAACGTGATGGTAGGACTTGTATGACGCAATGACCTTTGTCTGGAACTTCGATCTACAAAGTGTAACTATATCAAGAAGGTTAATAGGCAGCAGACAGATTAAGAGTAACGAGACCCCGCGCTGCGGGAAATCGTTGCATTGGGAGGTCTGTGGGTGAGATCGTTTTGTCTTCTGTGTAAAGAGTGTGGATGCAATAAGTCGTTTCTTGTAGACGAACAGCATGTCCGTATTTATGGGAGCAACAATGCTGCCTTACTCCCGCAGAGGAGCTGAAAAGGTTGATCTTAGAAACCACCAACTCCAAGAACCAAATGGCTGACCGTGACCACCGACACATTATACAATATCTAATAAAACTTGCCACGACACTGATGCGGCTCGAAACGCATCTTCAATGCGCAGCAGCATAAGGCTTGATTCCCCCTACTCTCGGGCCAAGCTATCCCGCGCGTCTAACCAGATGGGTGCTCCGGGCAGTGCGCGTTCTTAACGTTGATGTATACTGTGTCACACACCTTAAAAGGTCTAGGAGAAAGCTGTTTTCACATTTCAATTTTTGTGCGTCCGGTGATTCAGATTTGGTGATCCATGGAATACATGGCGTTGAAATTGCATTCAGTCGCACAGCCGAACGCGCTTTGCTGGGTTGGATTCTAGTGAACAAATATCTCCCTGGCATTCGGTTATCCAACCCAATCAAGCTCGATGCAGCTCGACATTAAAACAGGTGCCATTATCATTGCTGTCTCCTCGAATGGGGACTTCGAGACAGAATACATCAACGGTTGGGGTCATCGGAAGACATGGGCCAACCGCCGGGCCAGTGATGTGCAGCCGTAACGCCCTTTGGGAGCCCGATTGCCATGCCAAGCTGCTGCCGTCAATGCATAGCTTGCCCTCTACATCTCTCCAATGAAAAGTTCAGTAACTTCTGTATCCACACGACAGTGGTACCATCAGTTTCCTCCAATGTGTAGCTAGCCACTCCCCGACTTTCCTGGTTCGCCAGAAAAACGAAACTATGGCAGCTTTAACCACTGCAAACAGGTACACTGTTTACATCCAATGGTAAGGACAAAAGGTTGAGATTACGAGCCTGGCAGATGCTTCCCACTGCAAACGTTCAAAGGATGAGTTCATTTATTCAACTTCGTGGCTACTGTGTTAATGGGGCAACGATTGGTGCCAGACACAAATCCATTAACGGACCGGCCCCACGTCCTGCTGGGTAGTCGTTTAGGGATGAGGAAAAAAGTGACCCGGAATGTTATGAAGATAAAAACAGAACTACTCACATGGTAGTGATCCGGTCTACTTGAGCACGGTAGGTACCCGAGACATTGGAGGCGTGTTCATAATCGGCAGACTCTTTGCCGGCTTCAACAAATCTGGATGATGGAGGTCGGTTTTCTAAGCTATTGTTCGCAGAGTATTCAAACGAGTCTGTATGCCGAAACAAGGCAGGCCTTTTGAAGCGTCCTATATATGGGTCTAGTTGGAAGTTTGATTGGACCGAAGGTTGGTTCGGTGAGACAGGAAGACTGGTGGCGTTGACATGGGTGGTAAAATCAGCTGAGGCTTGTTTCTGTCCCTTGGCATTGAGTTGGTTGTGAGCAATATTGGCTTGTGTGTATAGAAAATTACTGGATGATTGGGCAGTTTCTTCAATACCTGAAGCACTCTGGACAAGAGCAACAATAAAAAAGGGACTATGAATGAACTTATGGCTTAAAAGTATGGATCCTATAAGTAGAAAATAACCTAATAACTGGGTCTACCATGTATAATGGCCTCTAGGGTACCTTACTTCAGCAATAACGTGATCGCCATGTTAACGGAAAACAGAGCAAAATGGAGTTGTTTGTCGCAAACATCAGTCTAATGACGGCAGCAGTAGACTGCGAATAGCAATCCATCAACGCCTTGACTGAAAGCATCGGGCACTGTGGGCCCTTCTAAGGCGATGCGAAACAGTGGGGAATGAGCTATATGACGGAACATGGCAACGGTGGGAGAGCCACTTAATGGTCATCAGGATGCGGTCGTGTAAACATTGTTACCTGGGATATCAGGTGACGTAACAAAACATCACGGCAATCCAACCTCACCACCTGTGTCGACGACAGCGACTGATCCTCAGACGGGACCAGGAGAATAATGACTAGATCCTCCCCCAATTGTGTTCTTATTATTACTCCGACTTCTTATAGATTATTCGGCAGTTTGATGTTGCTGTCTGTACAGGCGGGACTATCACACTGCCGGCTATAGTAAAGTTTTGATTCGTACTACACGATCTGTTGATTGCATCACGCCAATGGACCAATATGCTTCATGAACAGACATTAAGAGCATCTGAGTATAAAGTCAACTCCATAAGAGGAGGAAGAAAGTGCTATCAGATGCTGCAGGGACCACCAGAATACAGCAAAGTTTCGCGAACGCGTGCGGAGAATGTCGGGTGGACATTAACTATGAACTTCTCCTCGCCGAATGGAGCATAGTCACACCCCGAAGACATCCAATCACATCGAAGTCCAGCTCTTATATAACAATACAAGTATGTAATAACACCCATCAATCAGTAAAATAGGTGCGTTGTCCCATCATGATTAGGAAGCCACATCTAGATAAATAAATCCCACGCTAATCGGTGACATCCGGACAGAACCATACTGTGCGTTTGTGTTGGAGGATGATCAACAAAAAATGTCCTATATGAACTATCCGTTCTTTTTAACTTTTAGGTTATTAAATGAAAATTGAGCGAATCCATCACTGCACTTAGGTAGTTCCAGTTTTGAACAAGGATTCAGTTGACTAGTTCACTAATGTTGAATTTCAACGACGAAAAACAGTTTGCTGTGCATGACCATAAAAGAGTGAATTAGCATGGTCGTTGGTCTTGGCAGTTAAATTTCAGATGTCTCGATCAAGAATCATCATCGGTGAGTTGTTGGGTGAGTATTCCATTTTGCTTCTCTACTGTGATTGGTGGGTCGCGAAGATGCCTCCACTTAACCTGGTTTGTCATTTGAGAGTTCGGGTTGTATCTCACTTCCTTGCACTTAGTTAGTTCGCCCTTCTTTCTGCACAATCTACCAACAAGATTGCCATCATTAAATAAATTGTCAAAAATGAATCAATCAGGCTTGCCGTGTCCGATGATGATGAGGTGTGTCAGCAGAAAGTATGACCCAGTGTCACTTGCCTGAATCGACGAAGACATCAATCTAATCAAGTTAACGCCCAGTTAATGGTCCACGCAAAAACGATGAGAGAGCGAGCTTTACTAGAAACAGTGCCTCAGGGGAACCAATCCCTAAACAAATCGACATCAACCGAGCTTCTGGGAACAAAAGAGATAAGCAATGGGTGAACTCTGAACTGCGTTGGAGACCCAATGACAAGTGGAACTACAAGTTATCGCCAAGGATCACATCGCAAACAGATACCAAATCGACACGCACTATCAAGTGCGAAAACTGTATTACTTCATTCTACGTTCAAGTGCCCAAATTCCTACTGAAACCAGCCGATGAGGGATCGGTTCGCCAGCAGTATATCTGCCAAAACCTACAGTTAGACTGGCTTTGACGATTGGTCGCTTACGGTATGGCAGCCTAACAAAGGAAGAAAACAGGTGTTCAACTGGGATGCTTAGGCGTCATCGCCTGGCCGCTGCGCGCCGAGGACGTCAAAAGACTTTCAGTGTTTGACCATCGATGTCTTCGGAGCATTGCCCGAATCTGGTGGGAACACCGGATCAGCAATTCTGAAGTACGTCGAATGGTATTCGGGAGAAATAACTCACCCTCGATGGATGAATTGATCTCATTGCACAGGTTGCGTTGGCTTGGCCACGTGCTGCGTATGCCAATTGACCGATTTCCTCGAAGGGCTCTTTTCGCCAAACCATGTGAAGGGTGGAAGAGAGCCAGAGGCGGTCAAACAATGACTTGGCAGCGAAGTATGAAGGTCATTACCAGCAAACCAGCTGCGCTTACAGCTGATAATGATGATGATGATGAGCAATCCGTCAACGCCTTGACTGAAAGCATCGGGCACTGTGGGCCCTTCTAAGGCGATGCGAAACAGTGGGGAATGAGCTATATGACGGAACATGGCAACGGTGGGAGAGCCACTTAATGGTCATCAGGATGCGGTCGTGTAAACATTGTTACCTGGGATATCAGGTGACGTAACAAAACATCACGGCAATCCAACCTCACCACCTGTGTCGACGACAGCGACTGATCCTCAGACGGGACCAGGAGAATAATGACTAGATCCTCCCCCAATTGTGTTCTTATTATTACTCCGACTTCTTATAGATTATTCGGCAGTTTGATGTTGCTGTCTGTACAGGCGGGACTATCACACTGCCGGCTATAGTAAAGTTTTGGTTCGTACTACACGAGCTGTTGATTGCATCACGCCAATGGACCAATATGCTTCATGAACAGACATTAAGAGCATCTGAGTATAAAGTCAACTCCATAAGAATAGGAAGGAGGTGCTATCAGATGCCTCGTCAAAAGCTGCAGGGACTACCAGAATACAGCAAAGTTTCGCGAACGCGTGCAAAGGTCGGGTGGACATTAACTAGGAACTTCTCGCCGAATGAAGCACAGTCACACCCCGAAGGCATTCAATCACATCGGAAGTCCAGCTCTTATATAACAATACAAGTATGTAATAACACCCATCAATCAGTAAAATAGGTGCGTTGTCCCATCATGATTAGGAAGCCACATCTAGATAAATAAATCCCACGCTAATCGGTGACATCCGGACAGAACCATACTGTGCGTTTGTGTTGGAGGATGATCAACAAAAAATGTCCTATATGAACTATCCGTTCTTTTTAACTTTTAGGTTATTAAATGAAAATTGAGCGAATCCATCACTGCACTTAGGTAGTTCCAGTTTTGAACAAGGATTCAGTTGACTAGTTCACTAATGTTGAATTTCAACGACGAAAAACAGTTTGCTGTGCATGACCATAAAAGAGTGAATTAGCATGGTCGTTGGTCTTGGCAGTTAAATTTCAGATGTCTCGATCAAGAATCATCATCGGTGAGTTGTTGGGTGAGTATTCCATTTTGCTTCTCTACTGTGATTGGTGGGTCGCGAAGATGCCTCCACTTAACCTGGTTTGTCATTTGAGAGTTCGGGTTGTATCTCACTTCCTTGCACTTAGTTAGTTCGCCCTTCTTTCTGCACAATCTACCAACAAGATTGCCATCATTAAATAAATTGTCAAAAATGAATCAATCAGGCTTGCCGTGTCCGATGATGATGAGGTGTGTCAGCAGAAAGTATGACCCAGTGTCACTTGCCTGAATCGACGAAGACATCAATCTAATCAAGTTAACGCCCAGTTAATGGTCCACGCAAAAACGATGAGAGAGCGAGCTTTACTAGAAACAGTGCCTCAGGGGAACCAATCCCTAAACAAATCGACATCAACCGAGCTTCTGGGAACAAAAGAGATAAGCAATGGGTGAACTCTGAACTGCGTTGGAGACCCAATGACAAGTGGAACTACAAGTTATCGCCAAGGATCACATCGCAAACAGATACCAAATCGACACGCACTATCAAGTGCGAAAACTGTATTACTTCATTCTACGTTCAAGTGCCCAAATTCCTACTGAAACCAGCCGATGAGGGATGGGTTCGCCAGCAATATATCTGCCAAAACCTACAGTTAGACTGGCTTTGACGATTGGTCGCTTACGGTATGGCAGCCTAACAAAGGAAGAAAACAGGTGTTCAACTGGGATGCTTAGGCGTCATCGCTTCAGCTTAGCACGTACCATTGCTCAGGAAATCGAGGCATGTTTATCACACCAGGCCACGCACCTTTCAGATGTCTTGCAACAACATAACCGCAAATCTGGACACTCGGCAAGAAGTTCCCAGAGAAGCTCCAAAGCAAATCAAACTGGGTGCACGTTCAGATCGTCATGGAAATGTGCAACTAGTTTTCATGTGTATGCAAATGGCAAATGATCTATGTGCATCTTTTGGTGATTCGAGTACCAAACAGTTAGCTACTGAAATAGCCACGTATGGAACGTACAGCCCAACTGGTATCACGGCGATTTTCATTGAACATGTGTTTCCCGAACTTCCACGGAGAGGTCCGGTCGTCGCACAACCGGTTAGCTGGAACGGACGGAACCTGCTTGGAGGGAGCGTTGGCTGTGTTTGAGTTACCCAGGGGTGATGCGCGAACTGTTTGTGGATAAACCGAAGTCCTGGGACTCATTGGCAGTGGAGTGAACGGGCGCGGCGTACCCGCCACAGTGGTTGTCGTACTGGATGCTGTCTGAGAGGAGGGAGGGGTTAACTGTGGTTTCGGGTAGGTCAGGGTGGATTCCACCAGTGTTGTAGAGCACGGCCCTGTAGCGGCGACTGTGAAAGGGATCAGGGAGAACTCTGCACGCCCAGACGGGCAAACGCGCGGCTCATTTCCACCAGAAACTTTTTCTCCTGGTTTGCAGGACCTCGGTTCTTCCGATGCATCTCTGCTATTGGACTGTGTGAGGGAAGACATTCGAAAGTAACAAGAGTTATTGAACAATGCGATGACAATATGAGACGGACGTTGAAAGAAGGAAAGAGGGATTCGGCAGCGATTCACTGATCTAAAGGCGAGAAAAAATGAGATACGAATAATAACTTATTCATAGGTGTTAACTATATAGGCGATCAGTTGATCAACTGCAATCCCCTATCAAAATAAATCTGTTTCCAGGGCCTACGGTTCCGTTCTCCGACAACAGGATGAATAGGGAAGCAATCGTTCCGTGCTGGAAATGCTCACTATCCCACCCAAGACACGAAATGGCACCAAACAGGTGGTGGGAAAACTATATATTGAAGACGAAAGCTCGGGGTGACACTGACTGAATACTGAACTGAAGTTTTTTCGGTATGCAGTATCCAGTTTAGCTGTTCCTAATAAAACAGTCAGTAGCGGCGGCATGCCCGGAGTATCATAATTGGGAATTTCAGAGGTCATCCATAGGCCAAGACCTGACAACATCGGATAATTTTTACTCGGTAAAAAGCTTCGAATCAAACGCCCAACCCATAGCATGATTCATGCGTAGCTAGCTACCTCAGCTATTGCGACCTGCAGAATGTGACGACTAACTGTCTATTGAGGATAAGTTGCATTCTCTGAAAACAGTCCAGCGTTTACAGGCGTTGCTTTAATGTGCTAACCACACTTAGAATTTATTGTTGCAGCATCTAGCACTAGGCTGTTTAACTGAACAGGCATACGGTGAATACAAGACCTTCAAAAACGAAACCACGCATTAACAGATGAATCCGGAAACGATAGTTACCAATCTCAAGATCCTGCCCGAATCCCATTTGAAGGTTGGTGGGGGGGGGGGGAAGATGAATTACACCTACCGGACAACGGAACCCGAATATATATTGTATCGTCAACTATCAACGCAGTTGTTCTGAGTACTCGATGACACGAAGAGCGCCAAGGAATTTACCTCATAAAAACGAGCAGTGCTCAGGCCACGGTCCACCCGTGGAAGTCGTAGCTCCAAGGAGGTCAAACGTGTCAACATGGTATCCACTTTACCAGTCAGTTTTGAAAGAGAGGTTAGAATTTCCTCCATTGGATCACGAGGCGACGTCATCGCTGGAGCTTCAGGTTCGTCCTCGGTAGGTGGGTGTTGTCCAGAAGGCCAACGATGCAAGGACGACGACATCCTAGAGCTAGGAGTACTACTGACTGTTGTACGCGCAGCCAGAGTGGTCCGCTTGACAGGTGGACGGTTGTTACTGAGAGGGACAGGTTTTCCGGTCTTCGGAACCGAGCTACTGCAGCAATATGGTCGTGGATTGCTGTTCAGCAAATAATAAGAGTTGCCAGTTTTTGCATAGGGCATAGAATAACCGCTACACTCCGATTGCAACCGTTGAGATTGATTCATTTGTCCGACAGAATCAATCATGGCCGAGAACTGGGAACGAACAGGAGAATGGGATACCATAAGTTTCAGGCGACAAAGGTATGAAACAGTAGTACTAATGGCAACTAAATTGCGAACATGGCGACGAATGGATATCTGTGAAAGGACTGACAAGGGCCTTCTGTCACGTACCTGAATGTATGACACATCTTAGTGTAACCAGCAGTCCAACAGGACCGAGCCTGTTCAGCTTTCTTCGGGAAAGCTTAGAAAGCAGTGTTTTATAGCTAAACGTCAATATTTGAGGAAGAGACGGTGTCTGCTAGTTGAGGAATTCCGAAAACATCTGGCGGAGTAAATCAACGGAATGCACAGAAATCGAATGGTCTGACGCTTTCATTAAAATATATCCCATAACCCTAACCAAATTCTGTTGAAAATTAACTGGTAATATTGAATAAATGATTGACCAAAGTGACAGTGAAGTAGCTTAGAAAGCCGGAATGTTCACCAGTAGTGCATGCTTATGAAGGCTCCATGAAGAGAAGATAGACGTGATGCGCTGTATCGTGTTAGTTGGCACACGGATCCGGTATACCAAATCTATCCATAGCAACTGATAAGCAGCTCAGAAAAATAATTCGCACGACGAGTGAAACGCCATTGGAGAAGTCAACACATGAGACCCACTCAATCCTGCACTGAGGACGTCACCTCGACCGGTGATGAAACGTTTGCAATCCAACTGCCAAGCTCGGCGAGCGGACCACCAACTAAACATGAAGAACCAGTCTACAAGTGACCACGTGATGTGGATTCCATGATTGAAAGATGCATGGCTACATGCATGCTACATCCTGTGTGAGTTAATTGCACTTCTGATCAGCCGCTCGTGACCGAACTGCTAAGTGCTTGAACTACTAACGCAGAGGTTGCAGATGCGAAACTCCTTTGAGGTTCGTGAGGTGTGCATTGCTGGTGATTCCCACTAAGGATACACAGCCATACGGCACAGTACAGTATAGTACAGTACAGCACAGTACAGTACCGTACTTGGCTTTTCAGTAGAGAGTGATTTCACTTACAGGACGAAATCTCAATCGAAAATTCTAGTGGTTGCCGAATGTGCTACACAGTGACAAGAAAATAAGGAAGGTCGAATCCTGGAGAAAATTACTGGAGGATACCCCTTTTCTAACATAACCTAGTTGCGCACCAGGAAGGAAAATACACATTGACCTGTGACTTGGTGAGTTCAGAAAAGATACATAAGGCATAGAGGATGCACAGATTACATGTGTTTAATCCTGCTGGAAATGGTGGAAGGATTAAGGCCTTAAAACGGATTCACAGGATATAAACATGAAAGACAAAGGAGTCGTCCGAGCTTTTCCTGTTCAAGAACCTACAGGCAAAGAATCAATCAGCCACACACACGATTTCGGTGTGTAGATACCATATCACCCGAAAGGAACACGATGACCGTGACCGCGCCAGTCTGTCCAAGCGTGGACAGTTGACATGCTAAGGTTAGGTTCGAACCACGAGCCTCTCGATCAGTAACTTCGCATTTTAACCACTGACTTATCTCGATCTCAGAGAGGCGACAGGAGCGACCTCAGTGAGTGAGTGATTTGAAGAGCAGGTTGAAGTAAAAAACCCGTCGAATGATAGCGGACGATGTAGGGGGGTGGCTCAACCGGTAAGTCAAGATCTGAGACAATCGGCAATCGGAAGAAATTGATCGCCAGATCTTCAAAATATCAAATGTTGAGATGAAAATAAAAGCAAATAAAAATCAGGTGTCTGTGTGAAATCGTGAGGTAACCGGAAGGTGAACCAAAAAGCCACTCAGCATTGGCAGTTCAAAGCCGCTCACTTTGTGTACTTGAGGCTTATTACTAAACCCAGACATTCTTTCATAAGTCGCGTAGATTTACTTCCTTTGAGGTCGGGTGAAGTATATTGGCGTGTTATAGTGTGATGTTGTTGTAGCCAACTTTTGACAAGTTCACAGTTCGAATTCGGGTAATAAGCGATGCTCATTGTCTCCGAGGAAATGTAAAAAAATAGACGGATTGCGAGTTTCCTCATGATACAGTACGATTACGTCCAACCGGCGACACGAATATGGCACCAAAACGGTCAACCGCGTGTTATTCAATTTCCACTGTTTTACTCAATCCACCACCGCACCCGTTATTGGCCTTCAGCCCAACTCAACAGTTTAAACGTGACACTGTTACTGGTTTCCGCGCACACAATAATTCCCGCCGAGTCATCAAACTGATAAATGTAACCCAGCCCACAAATCGTGTCAATCAATCGTCCAGTCGTTCATTTACCTATTTACCCGCTCCGCGATCTGATGATGGACAAACTAATTGTGAATGCACAGGTTTTCTGTCTGTTACCTCGTCACAACATGCAACAATGCTGTATGCACATACGTAAAAACTAATTCGTAAGTCATATCATTATTCCTAATGTTGGATTTTGTAGGACAGAAAATTCAATGCAAAAAGTGAAACGTTGTGAAAAATATTCACGCTATCACACGTGACGTTGTTCACCTTCCTGTAGTTCTACTCACATTCTGGAATAAGATGCAGGCTGGACATATCAAGAGCTAGTATCGAAGCAAGGAAAGTTAATCAACGGATCTTGGCCGTTCCTTCACGTGGTTTACGAAGTTTAGATGTCCGATAGCCACCCCTCCACCATGGCGAAGTCCGCAGCCAATACCACTGTTGTCAACATCAGGTTCTCCTGATAACGTTTTGCTATATATTTTTGTCGAGGTTTAAGGACCCTGGTTAATATTTTCCCCTATCAATCACTGCCAAAGTCCAGATGCCGTGGTGACGAAGAGAGACAAAGCGATGACGGTTTTGAAATCGAACGTGTTGCCTTAAATTGCAATAAGGAAGCCATCGGCAGGTTCAGATTCCGACGAAACATTTTAGCCCACAGTAAAATTGGATGAGTAGATGAGAAGCCATTATAGTTATAGTACATTTTCTGTATTCAAAAGCCTGCAAGCCACAACAAAGACAACAGATGTGTAATGAGCGTGACAGTATTCCAATGAGAACACGGTGGGCAGTTTCGAAAAAGCTGTTCAGTGTATGACGACTGAAATCATCATTACCACTGGGAGCTTCAATGAGAGCACGGATGTTTTCCTTCGATGCAAAAAAGAGACCCTTCCGTACCCTTCGATGCTTCTAGAGCTAATTCTCAATGTCTCAAGGGCGAATGACGATTGTACTTCAACTGATTTTCGGTAGCTAAAGACGTTCTGATGTATGTTCCCTTTCAGGCGGTCATCATATGCCTACTGACGCGATGAAATACCAGATCATGCGATGGCTATGACGAGGCAATTCATGTAATGACAGGTGTTCCTTCAGATCGCATTCATTCGATTCTTGACAGCATGAGTTGTAAACTTGGGCATCTTGGATTGTAGAAGATGAAGTGCCGTGGTGTTTTATGAGCTGGGAACTGCCGATAGCGCGCTTAACATGGATTGAATCCTTCGCTTTTCATAGTTCACCTCGTTGGCAGCCGTTGAAATCACCTGAGAAAGCTAACGCCAATAGTAAATGTCACATCTTCAACCAAGAAGTACGGTCAAACGGCGGGTGGGGATAATTCGGCTAACGAGGAGACGGACTATGAAAGTTCGGCACGGTCGTCAGCGTACCATCAGTTCAGAGTGATAGCAAAATCGAAGCGGCCAATTTTTAAATTTCCGCATGGTCGTTGTGAATGACCATATGATGTATTTGCCACTTTATTTTGTTCTTCATTTACGCGCCTACTTAGATAAAACTTTATTACGGCATAGTGATAGTGAAACTATGGGCGATAAAATGAGGTGCACATAACTGTTTCTCAGACCAGTCGCGCGAATAACAAAAAATGCGAGTAATCTCTGCTACTCACGAGTAGCATGTTTCGCATGTTTTAGCATGTTTCCAACCACTGTTGAGCTAGAGAAGGCTCGGCACCTGAGATTTTGATAGTGGGGGAGAACCTCCGAGTGGAAGTCAAAACATTCAGAGAACTGACCTGTACGGTGTACAGTGCGTCCCTTTAATACCGGGACTATCAGCTGCCATTTTGTTTCGTCTAGCAGTTTGTTAATCAGGTGAGAGGAACGGCTTCCGGACTTTGTCGCTTGATGAATCGAGAAGCATTGAGGAATCGCGTCCGTTTATGTACCAAATAGATAAAAACAAAGTACACATCCTATACAACTGCCAGGACTACCTTAACACCTGGAGACAGAGTAACTTAAAAACTAGGCATATTTGTTCGGCAGAAGCCCGTGAAATAGAAGAGAATTCTGAAGCACAGAGTGGAGCAGTTAATGGTTAAATTGCTCGCCTACGTAGATAGCTTTGACAAAGTTTCGCGGTCAACCGAGGTAGCACCAGAAGCAAGTATTAGGGTTGTAACATATCGTAAATTAACAGTGTAGCAGTTTGCAGCTCCTTAAAGTGTTTCGTTCGTTTAGGACGCAGTATCTGTTAATACCCATTCAGTAATCAGGAATGACAGAGCCTATGACTGAGTCCTTCTTTCAAGCATCTAGGTGCCAACTGATGACGTAGATAGAAAGATACAATCTCCTAGAGCAATGTGTCGCTGATCTGTTTGAACTGCCCCGAATAACACTCAGTTTCTTATGAATACTCATAGGAGATTGACCGAAGTTGGATGAAAGTACAAGCCAAACCCAAAACAAGGAGCCTAGTTTTTGTTAGAAATACGTACCGTTGAAGATGCTCAGTATAATTTTATACTCATATAATCGGAATACGAGCTATAGTTAAGACATTGAAGGATGAAAAACAAAGGAGTGAAAAGGATAAGTGCTCACAGTGGAACATTGATTCTTTTGTTGCTTGGCTATTCGATTTCCAGGACTGCAACGTTCACCGAAATTCGGCTGAGTTACCTGATTGTGAGATTCTTCACCCCACACATGGGTATCGAAGGTAACCTCCGGTTTCTGGAACTGACTGCCAAGGGTATCGTTGCAGTCTCCTGCAACACGTGATTCAGGAAAGGCGATCGAACCGATTTCAGCATGTGATGATTGTCTTGCATCAAGCAAACGACCTATGCCGTCTGAACTCTTGATGGTCACGCGGTCAAGAGCACAATCTACCGTGGGGTCTGAGGTAGGTAGGAGAACGTCAGGTAACACCTGAGGGATTGAGTGACACTTGCGCACCCTCTGAACGTAGTCACGGACGGGCAAAGAGCGAACTTCAATGACACGGTTAGGATTACCGCTTGTGCTGGTTGGGCGTTGAGGGCCTGGCTTTTGAGAAAGCTTTGTAGGGAGAAGAGAACACAAGCGCTCGGTCAACATGGATGCCATTTCCAGTTTCCGTTCCTTGAACCCAGGACTGTAAAACTGCGCCAATGTAATCGGGGCTCGTGTGTTGAGCAAATCTCGCATGATACGGTAAAGGGACTCCATTAAGCGATCATCCGTCAAACCTATAGGACAGATGTGAATCGGGAACCAATAAGCAACGATACTGACTGAATAACAAATAGATTTTCCATTTTACAAACCAAAACGCGTTGCCAAGATCCGCGAACAGATTAGCCATCATCTGACCGACCCACCCGAGCTAGCAATAATGAGACACTCAAAATCTACATTTTTAAGTACCCTTCACCGAAGCACTTCTTTCTAAATAAGATTGCGATTTGAACCAGAAATGGACACTGAAACGCCGCTCCCGGACTACTGCTAACCCTGGCATCCATGAAATCAGCTTAACTTTCAGCAAATAATGGTTAAGATGAAGTAGAACATTTTGAATTCGATTTGACCACATCGTTACAGTTCTATGAGGACCAGGGGAAGACAAATTTTACAGAAAGTAGCTTCTCCGAGAGACATTGTGTTGGTGAGGGGCTGTTTTTGACCACCTTTCCCCGGTACTCATTCATACTTCTAAACTTGTAGGTGAATGAGATTAGACAGCTGAATCGCAAGTGAAATGATGCTTTGACCGACGAGTGAGTAGTAATCAGACTTTAAACCGATCAAGGCCAGCTTTGCCAAGTGGTCCCGTCGAGGCATATTTGAGCGACTGGTAACCAACTGAAATCCGCACTGAGCATGAGTGAGACCAGAAATAACGTACCACCTATTGCTTTCGACGTTCGGTAGCGGGGAACATTGTTGAGCACTCGAGACTTTAAACTACGAGTTGTTCTTCTGAAGCTTGAAAGCCTATTTATCGAAGCATCCACGAGGCGATAAACCCAAAGAAAGTTGGAACGTTCAACATCAGTTGATGGCGAGTTAGATCGAAAGAACTAAACACGCTCACATTTCCCCACAGTGTGGTGAAATAAAGCAAAATGTGACTGAAGCTCACGGATCTGGATGTACTGATAACGTTTCCGAGCTGTTCACGGTGAACGATTAATTGTAGTGTGACAGACGAAGTCAGCGCACAAATCTCAGACAGCAGGATTGTTTTGTCCATTAACGCAAATTGTGTCGTCAGAAAGTCGTATCACCGGGAAGAATGTATCAGACTGCGGTGCAGGCTGTATTGTTGTGCGGTTGCAAGAACTGAACAATTCAAGCAGAACTGAGATGTTTTCAGGCACCTGACCACCGAGTCTCAGAACAATAGCTGGATTCGGTTGGAATCAGTGTATCTGCAGCGAACTGATTAGGGGACGGATCCCTAACACAGAAGAAGTTACCTCACTCAAGGAATGCGTTCAAACATGCACGCTAAGGCTGCTGGGTCACGGATTACGTATTACCCTTTTACCGAGAGTAGCACTGTTCTCCATGCCTAACTCGGAGTGGCGAAAACCTAGAGGTGGACGAAAATCGCACATGGCAGAAGGAAATGACGGACATTGATGCTTTCGCCTTCAAGGAGGGGTCCCAAGTGACAATGCTTGTATCCGGCTGAGGTCAGTGGCTGTCATTTTCTATCCAGGTTATGACTGTGTTGGACGTGTGGGAATCTCAAGTGTTCGTGACAGGCTACCTCTGCAGCGGTGTATACTGTCGATGAAGCATGCGAGTAGTCTATGGTCTGGTGTCCAAACTCCGCCCCCGCATCTGACGGAAGGTGAAGTTTATGGTGGAAATTGTGGAGCCGCTTTGCAGTGCTCGTTTACTATTGTGTAATAGTCAATGAATGTCCAGGAAAGTTCATGAGAACGCGTAAAAAACTATGTGCATACGAGATGTCTACTTTCGCGTCTGATGGCTTGTAACTGCCTACTTCGTGTTTGCTAACAAATAAACTCGCAATAAAAGGCTATCCTCCTTCCGTGTCCGATTTTATCTTGTTTCCATTAAAAGATTCCATTCAAACAAACTGACTTGGTTGTATGACACTGAAGTGCTAGTATTGCTGTTAGCGATGATGATGACGAGACAGAATGTTGTTGTGGAGAGGTGCCCACGAGTGTTTGCACTAAAGAAAGGTCACCGCAGTCCAGATATACATTTTTATGATTCCCGCAGAGTGAACCTAGCGTTACCTTCTCCCCGCCCCACAAAACTCACTACCGGATATCGGGTGAAATGTTTGGAACCAAACTTTCCGGCTCACCAGACAAGCAATCGAACTTTTGCACGATCTGAGCCATAAAAACCCTACACAATATACACGACTGGGTTAGGGTAAGATCACATCGGCAAGCAGTGAAAATTGCGAAACGTAGAGGGAATCTTAAAACGGTCTTCAGTCTCAACCAAGTACACGTACCTAAGAGACCGAACCCTTTGTCGACCAAGTGCTTCGTCAATTTTGTGCTGTGATCGCACAGAAGTCGTCGGTAGAAACTGATAAAAGCAGCTGGTTGTCCCAGAACCATCCTAAAATGAAATAAAAATGAGATAAAGAATTTGTTCACTGTTCCACTGACGCGTTCTTTCACTCCAAAGGGCTAAGATAACAGGAAAATGCTGGTTGTCCCAGAACCATCCTAAAATGAGATAAAAATGAGATAAAAAATTTGTTCACTGTTCCATTGACGCGTCCTTTCACTCCAAAGGGTTAAGATAACAGGAAAACGGGGCTCAACATAAATTACGGGTCAGGATGCTGAATCGCCTGGAGTAAAACTTTAGTGGTGAGCAACGCGGCGGTTCGAGTGCCGTCATAAGGAGAGGGACAGATACATAATTTTAGATTTATGATACGGCGAGCGGTTCCATGGAAACGAATACAGGCTTATGGGGATGCTTATCTAGCCAGGAGACTGGGTCGCCGAAAGGGACTGGTGATGGGGCAAGAGCGTGCTATTGAGTTCGAGATAGTACAGTGAGTAAGGCGTGAAACTGCTGATCGGAAGGTCCGTGGTTCGAACTCAACCGCGGCATCTCGACTGCTTCTTTCTAGGCCTGGGCAACAAACAATCTTATTTTGTGGCTGGGACCGCGCGATCCAATTCATCATTCACCGAAGGAAGCGTCGCCCTCCACACAAATCTGTTGTTGGCAAAATTCTTGTGACTCTGAGGCGACGGTATGTAGGCGCTCAATGGAAGTGATTGCGGTCAAACATAAGATCTTAGTACGTCCTATGTGATTTTCCCCGCAGGTGGTCATAAACCTCATGAGATATGACAAGTAGCCGAAGTAAACGGCGAGCATGCAATCATTTCTCAACTAGGATTTCCAGAATACGCTCGCAAAGGATATTGGACCGATTGCACCAAAGCCACCTGGCTGTGTCAGATATGTTTTAGCGCCGTTTGAAAATAAAAGCACTTTGTGCTTGATCGGTTTCTCTAGGGACACCAGGAAATTTTGCAGGCATCCCTCCAAATTATTTTTGTTTTTCCACTTGATTTGGGTATTTTCTTCTCATTATCATATTGTAGTTAAGCATCAGTATGTATTGCTGGTGTACTGTCGTCGATGATAGGGATGAATATGTGTGTTGGACAGATATACCACATCTATACTACTACTAATAATAATCGGCTGCAACGTTCTTTCAGTGCATAGCTCCTATGCCACCTGATAGAAGCACAAGGGCTGAGATACTTCCTGGTTGCCAAAGCCTACAGAGGAGCAGTTGAGATGCTGGTCACTAGGTTCGCGATCAAACTGATGTGTTACCTCGAGCTAATACCTCATCTAGGCAGTACCATTCGCCCAATGGACTAGTCCCGCACTACCTCCAGTAGAATGAGACCTTCGGAAAACTATTCAATGGTACATTTTGGCACAGCGCACCTCGAGGAGAAATTGGTTTGTAGAAAGGGTAAATCTATTTGTAAGCTCAGTCGTGGGTAGTAATGTAATCTTGTGATGAGGAAACGGTGCGATTTTCCGCTGTAATGGACCAAGCAACAGGGCAACGAAAGTGGAGCACGATGAATGCTGACTCCACCTCCATAAAGACCATTTTGGATTCTCCAGAGGCGATTCTTAGGAAAGACGGGTGTAGTTGGGATAGTAGTGATACATTTAAAAAAACTCCGCTCTAAGACCCTGGGAGTTCAATATTACATAAACGATCAAACAAAGGAAGGACACTCTTACCCTTGGAAATCCACATCGTATGCGAAGTGAACAGCCCGAAGTTGGCGACGAAACTTCTCTACCTGTTCCTTCACGCCGTACATGGTTAATTTACTCGGCAGAAGTTGGCTGCGCGATTAATGATTCCATCGACAAGAGAGTGTAAGCTGAAACACAAGTGAAATAAGTGGAGAGAAATGCTGAGGTTGCATAGATGCAAACTAATGAAGACACCAAAAACAGAGTCTGAGACCTGAAAAAGTTGTGTATCTGAACAGAAAACAATATAATACAAACAGATTTGGGTGGGTTTAATTCAGATTAATTCGATTTTTGATAATCGTGGTGCACAGGAACGAAGGAAAAGGATTGTGGAACGTGGGAAAAATAGAAAAAAGGAGAAAAGTCTAAAATGCCGCGGTGAAAGACGGAGCAGTAAATATCTGATTGCTGCTTCAAAGTGGATCACAGTTAGCAGAAGGCACATGGCGGAAACGAGCTCCGCGAAGTCGGGCTGATTTGATGAGCAAAGTCTTTTCTATCCACCCAGATATATGACACTGGGTAACATGTCATCAGTGATAGAAGACCTTCGTGAAGGCTTTCGATGCGGAACAGATGGTAGAACTGGGGTGTCTTTAACCTGAGCGTCGTCGTGCTTGTCAGTCGATGGGTCTTGGCTGCCTGGCCACTCGCTGATGTGATACGGATCCAGACATTCGGCAGGGATGGCGTAGTCTGTGGTTAATGGCAGGGTCGATTCAATCCGCGGTGCTTGCTTAGTCCCGGAAACAGCTGTTGTTCCAAGCGCTGCATTCAGATATTCGTCGATAGTGCGTTCTGTGCAAGTGGCTACAATGTGGAAAGATGATAACCATGTTAGAAACTACTGGTAAAAATTAGCATTCTTCACACTATTACGAAACAACTAGGGACAAAGTTGCGCAGGTTTTACTTCACGGTTGGATCATGAAAATCGAAGGTAGCCTAATAAGCTGCAAAATTCGAAGAGGCATTGGCCTCTCAGGGAGAATTCACAACGCTCACAAATGCTACCCAATCCTAATCCACTGGAATGTGTAATAATATAGCATGTTCCATGAAAGTACCTGCATTATCTAGCTCAAAACAAGTGCAGATTCTAGGCCACCACACCACAGTAAGCTGTCAAAGGATTAAAATAGAGTCTCCGGAATATTCAACGCAAACAGTTCCATTCAAACACGATCCGGTGTGCGTTCCACACGGAGGTGGTCAACCGGCATATGCTCGACTCATCTGAATTTTCACGTCTGCACAGGCGAACATGTTCACGCTTGAGCGATGTGATCAGTTTGCTCGACGCCTCCAGTGACGACTCATTAACTGTCCCATGTTCTCAAAGCCTAAATGCGCAAACACTATCTATTTTGATTAATAATGAAGAGGAGGACTCGACGGTTGCAAATACATGCACAATTTTGGCAAGTATGGAAAGTTTTCGAAGAAAGTTGTTGAATAACATTTTGTGATCAAGCCAAAATAGCTCAGTAGTTAAGGCGCCGATATGCTCACCAGAGGGTTCGTGGTTCAAGCCCAACTGCAGCATATCGACCTGTCTTGTATAGGTTTGGGTAACCTGGTAACCCGTTCCACATCAGAGATCTTGTATAGGTTTGGGTAACCTGGTAACCTGTTCCACATCAAACACCCAAAGGGTACTGCACCTGAACTATAATTTCGATCGTGATGCGGGTGCAGGCACTCGAACGGCCCACGGAAAAGGGACGAAGGGAGTACTCTAGCTGCAGGAGAATCGGACTATCCCGAGGGAAGTAGCACTACAGAGGATATCCACAGAATAACACAGGAAAGGAACGAAAACTGATTTCCGAATTCTGTAAAAAAAAGTGCACAATGACGAGGTGATTCAGCCGAACGGATAGCGGTGTTCGGACCAATAGGTTAGAGCTCCAGAATTCGAACTCGTATACAAGGCAGACTTCACGACAATGACCCAAGCTAACTTTTCAAGATTCAAGGAGACAACCAAATGTGTCCCCATCATGGAAGAGCTGACTTAAATGCTTAAAAGCGACCACTCACAAAATAAAGCAACGGTCTAAGAGTACGCGAAGGTTTTCTGCAACGATCGCGACCAATTATCAGTGGAACAGAACGTGCGGCTTAAGGGCGGTCGTATGGTGATACTGAGGAAGTTGACACCAGATCTGATGACGGAATTACCTCTGACACTACGGTGTCAACATCAACATTTTCAAAGCCCAGAAACTGTTTCAATAGCCAGGTGTGACCACTAAATAGAGAAGTATATAATGCAGTTTGGGTTAGGCGGAGCAATCACCAGAAGCACTCGGAAGAGGCGATCAACCAACGCGAGAAGTGCACTCGGTCCTGTCAAATAGTTACGGTGTATTTGTTTGTGTTTGCTCAGAAGCGATATCGACCCACAGAGAACTGACTACGTTGAGGTTGAGGCGCTGACAACCACCAACATAACAGTAGCCGTCAGTCGGATGCATTTGCAATTTGTTAGGCATAGTATCTCAGAATTACGGTACTCAGACAAAAGGCCGCAGTTTGCAAGTGAGGAGTTTTGAAAATTCAGTTGAGAGTAGGGATTTGAGCATCGTACTAGCAACCCGCACAACAGCCGACTGAATGGCAAAGTAGTTAACGGTTAAAATGAAAATGCATATCATGACACTGGCTCGATATTCAGGTCCCGCATTTCGGGTTGGTAGATCCTCGAGGCATTCCAGCTGCAAAAATCGGACACAAGTCCGTCCAAAGAATGTTTAACCGAACAAAGCGTCGTACGGTGCCACTCATTATAAGAGAAGCTATTCTGTCTAAGCCATCGGATAATGCACATATTACTGAGAAATTGCAGCTGAGGTAGTCAGCTCGGAAGAAGTATTACGACCAAAGCGCGCCCCAACTACCTGACCCGCATAAAGCTTTCACAAATGGACGTTTTTCCAAAGCTGCAAGCTAGGAAGCGATGGAGAGCTCCAGATAGTTCAGTGGTTAAGGTGCTTACGAACCGGAGAGTCCGTGGGTGGAAACCAACCTCAGTATCCCGACTTCTCCTGTCTACGTTTGGGTAAGCTGGAAGTATCCCACTCCTCATTCCTCCTTCCGTAGGCATGGCAGCTAGGCATCGAAATGGCGCTACAGCTGTGATTTAATTTGATTTTTAAGGCAACACGATGAACAAATAGCCGTTCGAACACAGCTAAAATTATGCGAACCAATCGTCCGGATATTTCAAAACGTACGATTGAAGGTCAACGCAAGCTAAGGTCATCCAGTCAGCAAGGTTCGCCTCGCTTATAAACAATCGGAGAACAAACAGCAGCCAGATGACACAGACAACAGCAAGATCTGAAATAATGACAACTAAGCGGATACCAACAACCAGTACAGAGATGGAAACAGAGTCGAGGAAGTGTCTGTAGAGTGATAAAAACGTGGTTTGCTTAATAGAGACGTTTTACAGCGGCATATCGGTGCTTAAGATCTGAAATAATGACAACTAAGCGGATACCAACAACCAGTACAGAGATGGAAACAGAGTCGAGGAAGTGTCGGTATAGTGATAAAAACGTGGTTTGCTTAATAGAGACGTTTAACAGCGGCAAATCGGTGCTTCTCTTGTGACTACCTGGGATGCGACAGTGAACGCGTCAGGGGGTGTGAAGTCAGTCCAGATTTCACTTTTGCCTGTCGGAATAAACAGCTGATCCGACAGTATTCCCGAGCATAAGAAACCCAGCCCTCAGTAATGTACTACGATCATTTCCCATAGACGGACTGATCAACCGGTCGAACTGAGATTGTTGACAGATGTCGGTAGTGAGTGAGTCGGATAAACTAAATCCTGTAGTAACAGATGGATTAACTGCCACTAAACTAAGTACTTAGCCCCTCCGCTACTCCACTGTCTACTCGAAATTCACGCACTACACCGTCCTCTTAAATGCGGCTGGCTGTCATTAGACCCTACCTATTTGGACAGTGACCATCGTCCAAAAAGGAGGTTGTTGCATATGGGGTGTTACTATGTAGAGGTCGGGTTGACCTGAACTTCAGAGTATTATAATCGTGCATGCTTACAGCAAGGCTGTTTTAGAAGTGGTGTGGCCTGAGGGGCAAATAAAAGCTTTGTTCCAACTTAGGTGGATGACCCTGAAAATACATACTATTCTATTGGTGGAGCGCTTGTCCCTCTGGACTTTGGCATTTTGCCACCTTGGTATTGACAATGAGTATGGCAACCATAATTGTTCCAACTTAGGTGGATGACCCTGAAAATGCATACTATTCTATTGATGGAGCGCTTGTCCCTCTGGACTTGGGCATTTTGCCACCTTGGTGTTGACAATGAGTATGGCAACCATAATCGACGACTAAGTTCATGCGAGAACCTAGAGTGAAAACCGGTTGTTGTTCCACTGAAAAAGAAAACATTGCGGAGGAAAAACAAGGAGCGGAGAAGTTAAGATTATCAACGCAGGAACATTGCAGAATGCAAATCTTAGAGACACTCAGGATGAAAGAATCCCCTGGTACGTTTGTGTAAGCAGGAAATTGATTAAGGGGTCCTCAGATACGTTATGAATTTTCAGTCGAGTTCTAACAATTCCTGTTGAATCAGCTGAGATGAGTAGGTTCAGAGCACTTCTACTCTCCCAAATGGAGTACGATATATGAAATGGTATCAACCGGTGCCTTCTGGCGAGGCAGCCGTCGTTGCATAGAGGTCGCACTTCGTGGACGACACCGATGAAGAATTTAATGGCTGAATCACAATAGACACAACGGTAAAGTGACAAGGATACTCACCGATGAAACGGATGAAAGGTCGTACATCACCGTCGTTCGCCGTTTTCAAATGTTCATAGTAGTCCGGACGATCTTCAACGCGGATAATCGCTGGGGGCAAGCCGGCACGCATAAGGATGAAATTCATGAGCAACCGAGCAGTTCGCCCGTTCCCATCGTAGAACGGATGTACGTAGACTAGTTTCCAGTGTGCCAGTGCGGCCAGTTCAATCGGATGCACGTCTAACAACTCCTCTGAATTTAGCCAATCAATCAAATCCAACATGAGTTGCGGAACCGCGTCAGGCGGAGGGGGCTGGTGATCAGCGATGAACACCTATGGCGGTGGAGGGCAGGATAGTTGATACGGTAAACGAGTTTCACCGAACACTTATAAGGAGATAATCGATCCAAACAAACTACACCGGGAAACCTAACAAACGTAATTGAGGATGGATATACATGGGGCGGACAAATTCTCCTTTGGAGAGATAGTCCCTCAGAAGAGGTCAACTACCTTCCTTGGTGTTATTTCTTGGATAGAGCAACGAGGCTTACCTGCGTCCGACGAAGACGTCCAGCCTCACTGGGATCCACATAAGCTAAAACTAGCTTATGTAGCTCAAGAATGATGTCGAGCGTGACTGGCCTGGACTTTCCCCGGAGCAAGGTAGCATTCATGTAACGCAGAGCAGCATCCAGACCAAGCACCTGAATGAGAAGACAGATCAATTAAATTCACTGACAACTGAGGTGACATTTCAATAAGAATGTGTGATCAGATAGCGTGAAATTTGATTGACCTATTGGAGATGATTGACTAAAACGTCCGAAAGGTACGACGCTAGTAAACGCCTGCTATTGAGTGAATTGGTCGACCTTTATCAGAACACGTATTGGAGAATGGGCGGAGACGCTCAAACATAAAATAATGGGGCGGCTAACTTGAAGCGTTCACAATAAAAAAAAATACGACAACGAGCAATTCCCAGAAGTTTAGACACAAAATGAGTGGAGTTTGGACTCCAGTGAGAATTGTAATGATAAGCTCCGAAGTTGACAAGTTGAAAAGCCATAAAGAAGGTAAACGACCCCAATGAAAAATCACACGATCATGAAAAGGCGGCTTCCGATCTTCTCGACAGACGCAGAAGATGGAAGGCAACATACACAGGTAGCAGGTGTACACGTGACACTCTACTCATAAAGCTGCTGAAAAAATTCGACAACCCACAAGTCGGTCTCACCCTTCTCAGTAAGTAGGCGCAGTCTTCCAGTTTCCTCCATGAAAATATACTGCAATATCTCGAATATCGTACCAAACGAAATATGAGACGGCCTGGTGAAGCACAGTGGGTTGAAGAATAACATTATACAGCAGGTAATTTAGTAAGGAGTAAACTGTCATACCTCATTCTGTTCCATCAAACTCTTCCCTCCAACGGCCAATCGGGTCTCCAAAATAGATCTAGTCTGAGCGAGAGTTAGCGTGTTACCCTCGATAGCATTCGAATGGTAGACATGCTTAAAATAGTGTTCCATTTTGGCTTGTCTCAGGCCCGGGTTGGATTCTGGTACCTCGTAGAAACGTTTGACCTTCATATCAATCACGTTGAATCTACAAGAAACAATCGGTGGTCCGTATCATCAGTATCAAGACCGCTCGAGTGTACCAGCAAACGTAGGGAAGAGACAAATAGATGGCTAGGGGGGAATTCAATTGACACAGCAATTCTTCTTCTTTGTGGAACGCAAACCATCAAGGGAGGGTTCTGTTTGCAACCTAAGTATTCAAATTAGTTCATTTCTTGTCTGTGGTTGCCAGATCAAATTTGTTCACCCTCCACACTCATAAAACAATTAGATAGATCCCTTTCAACAAGCTCATGAATAAGTGTAACACCTTCACAAAGATCACATTTTCCGTGACAGGTGTTAGCTAGTGATAACCTGAATTTCTCACTTCTGTGGACATCATACCACGTGGTGACGTATCGGGATGAAAACATGATTTTTTGTGTGCAAACCAGAAGTGTAGAAAATCGGCGACCAGCGTGCGAGACAGTTCGTATGGCCACGGAAGTTTGAATCGTGCATAAAAGTACAAACGGATAATCATGTAAGTGTAACCTTCATGTATGGCAGTGAAGCATCGGTGTTGAACACTGATGTCATGCTGTCGATGATGATGATGATGATGAACCTTCATGTATGAGAGGCGACGCCACTGACCCTTCCACGTGACCCCTGCCTCTCGACTTCCCCTGTCCAGGCAGTATCCCAGCACCCCCCTGGTGGCATGGCAGTTAAACACCAAAAGGGTGTTACAACTGAACGATTTTTTCATCCGGACTTGACAAGCTATTTAAGTCAGACTGGTTGGACGGTTCGAATTTGCGAAAAAAAGGCACACATTACCACGGTAGAAGGATCATTCCATGAGTTTGTGGTTCAAAAAATGAGCTCTGAAATATGAATCTGAGGGTTTTGAATTAAACCCAGTTGAATACTGCGAACTACCACTACCTTCAAAGCTAGAAATCAATGATCGTAGTTTGCTGTAAATGCGCGAAGTAAAACGGCCTTCGGCGGTTACAGCCTCGACATGGTGTTCGAACAGAGGAGTGCAAGCTTGATTACGCTAAGTTATGACCGGGATATGAATTCTTCGTCTTTTCCAAAGCCTTTTTTGTCATGACTCTTCAATTACTCCTAAGGGATATCACGTGTCATCCAAGCATTTTCA